TATGATCAGAAGATTCTTTCTCTTTTCATGAGAAAAAAAAAAAAAAAATTTCTGAAAAATTTTCAACCCTGAGAACAAGTTTAGGAGAGGGCCTCTCGACCCTGGAAGGGTTAATGTACGATATTTACAACATCCCAGAGAGTTAAAATACACATACAGTACACTCACTATGTGTAGTCTTAATGTAGGAAGAGAGGCGAGTAGTATTTATTTGTAGGAAGTCAGTGTAGGTATCTGGCAGGTGTAGCCCGCCTGGGCTACACCTACCGGCTACCTACACTGTGGCCCAGAGCATCGACATACCTTGTTCACTGAATTTAATCGTTTCTAACAACTACCTTTAGATGCCATCATAAACGAAGGGAGAAGTAATGAATAATTCATGCTGAAAATTGTAAACAAAAGCAGAGTGGGGGAGTGGCTGGGCCAAACGCAGATTCATACATGTTTTCTCTGGTGCCTGACCAGAGAAAACGCAATGTTATCCCTCCGCCCGGCTACCACACAGGTCCACAAGTATTATCAGAGCACATATAAAATATGCAATAAATGCTAGACAACAAGTTTACACTAACTTATATTAAGTTAGCAATAGAAATAGGCATAAAAAACACAATAAAAAGTAAGATACACACAGAGTACACTTATTACTTACCTTAAAATATTAATGTGTGAGAGGTGAGTAGCAGGGTGTTTATTGAATAAAATCAGAATGGCACATCACCATCTTCTAACTTGGCACTTAAAGCAAAAGGTTTACGATTCCTCTTTTTATCACAGCTAAGCTTAGACGCCGTCGTCAATGAGAGCAAACTAGTTAACGAAAGAGTAAATGAGAGAGAACGAGATATAGAGTTCAGACAATGTAAGAACACAAACTGAACAGGTAGTGGACGATAACTTTGTCAGGCGAAATAAATGCATATTAATGTGTGTCTGCTTTTAGTTCATTCATGAACGTTTGTAAGAGTTTTTAAAACCTTTACCTCACAATATTTTTTTTATTATAATAATAATTACCTCACAATACAAATACTCTTACAATGTGTACAAGTTGTACAAGTTAGTACAGAATAAACAAACAGCAACACTCCCATTCTCATGCAACACACCATTTTTAGAGTGAATGAAGATGATGATATTATCATGATAATAAAGAAGCACTAAACCCACAAGGGTTGTGAATTGCTATATACAGAGTGAAGGCATATAAATGGAATATTTTTCTACAGTTATCCCCAAGTGTTTGACTCGAGGAAACGTAATTCTTCCGACACTACCTACACAGCTGCTTTGTAAACAAATCTCATATTTGCGCCAATTTTTATTCTGTGAGTGTATGTATCATGTTTATATGCTATGTAACGTGTTTCTTATATAATTTTGAGGAAAATATCATAGATGGATTAATGAAAATGTCTATATTAAAGTAAAATAAGACATTTGATGTGCCCAAGAGTGATGATTATTATGTACTATTGGTGTCATGAGTAAAGGCACACTTAGCAATTTTAATGTGTACCTGCACACCAGCACAGTGTATAAGTAAATTTAGGTACAGATACACCTAAGTACAGTGGACCCCCGCATAACGATTACCTCCGAATGCGACCAATTATGTAAGTGTATTTATGTAAGTGCGTTTGTACGTGTATGTTTGGGGGTCTGAAATGGACTAATCTACTTCACAATATTTCTTATGGGAACAAATTCGGTCAGTACTGGCACCTGAACATACTTCTGGAGTGAAAAAATATCGTTAACCGGGGGTCCACTGTATAATTATCAGAGTACATATAAATATGCAATAACTGTAAAACACTTGAAATTTTGGAAAGTTTCCAGACATAATAGATGTGGTCACGGAGAATGTAAAGAAACCGGGTGGGGCGTGCTGTATTTGAAAGACCGCTTGCCGTATAGCAAATTTTGGTCATAATTTGACATTGCCATATTAGCGGAACACCGTAAGGTGAAACGCCGTAAAGCGGGGCCCTACTGTATAATAAAATAATGTTTTATGTGTTACTTGTCTTCCATTTCTTCACTGGCATATTTTCATTCTTTCCTAGTGGAAGTGATGACAAATTTATATTTATGAATGCTAAGTGAGCATGTAAAATTCTTTCCAATGCTTTTCATTACATTTCTCCTAAATATCTGAACACATTTATTTCCTCCATTTTTTCTCCCTCCAATCTCATATCTATTTTTTCACTGCCTACATTTTTTGTTACTCTCTTCACCTTACTCTTTCCTATGCTCACTTTAATTTCCTTCTTTTACATACTCTCCCAAATTCCTCCACCAACCTCTGCAACCTCTACAGAATCTCTCAGGAGAACTGTCATCAGCAAAGAGAAACTGTGACAACTCCAACCTCTCCCCAACACCGTAGAATTCATTCTTTAACAACCCCCATCTATAAACATGTTAAACAACCATGGCAAAATCACACATACCTGTCTAAGGCCTAATTTTAATGCAAAATAATCCTACCTCTCCTAATCCTATCTACATAAAAGTTCTTTACTGCTTTTAGAAACCTACTGCCTATTCCATACAACTACAACATCTGCCACACTGCTTCCCTATCCACCCTATCATATTCCTTTCCTAAATCCATAAATGTAACAACAAAGTTCCTTACCTTTATTTAATTATTTTTTATTAATATGCTTTAAAGAAAGCACTTGGTCTACACATCCCCTACTTTGTTTTACCTTTAATACTCTCAATAATTCTATCATACACTTTATGCAGAAAAAGTAATTCTTTCTCTCTTTTGTCCCTTCTTTCCTCTTACACAAAGAACCATGCATGCTCTCTGTCAATCTTTAGATACCTTCTCTTCTTCCATGCATATAGTAGGCATCATCAGTATGCACAAGAATAAACAGATCACACAGAATACAAAACTGCACACTACAAATATGCATGTGTTCCTCACCTAAACTTGTATTTTGTAAGATTACCCTTCCTTTTGATGCACTCCATAAGTCTCCTTGGAACAGATAAGACTGACTTATGAAGGATAACAAAGTCAATACCCTCCCACACAAGCTTAATGGCACTAATGATTTCGGGGTTTGAATTTCCAACGAGTTTCCAGGCAAATCATTAAAATGTTGAAAAATTGCAATAATTTAGCCAATTCTTCATGTTTCTGACAGTATGGCAAGGGGCATTGTCTTCCACACAAAAGTTGCCAAGGCACTTATTGAATCTGTCTGGGAAATATTTTGCTAAAGGCATACTTATGGGTGTGCACATTGATGACGCCTACTGTATACTGAACAAATACACCAACCGCTTCAAAACTGCTTTTAGTATCTTGGTTTTAATCCCATTTTCATTTCACCTACTGCCTCAGGCACCTTCCGCATGATCATATTTGGTTTATCCTTACTTTTACAATATGTCATGCCTCCCTGTCAAATGCATGAAATATTCCCTCCATCCCTTTACATGCAACTCCCATCTAACAGAGGTTTAATTTGTACAGGTGATTAGTTCATACCAGCATATGCAGTGACTGATTTTCAAAGCTGTTCAAGACATTTTCAAAGACTTTTGTAATATGTGCAGTAAGGTTTAACCCTTTCAGGGTCCGTCCCGTAGATCTACGGCTTTACGTTCAGGGTCCAAACCGTAGATCTACGTCATGAGCTCAGCTCACTCTGATAAACTGTGAGTGGTAAATTTGGGCCTAGATATGAGAATATATCTATGTGGTATGTGTGCACCACATAAAACAAATCCTGCAGCACACTGTGTATAATGAGAGAAAAAAACTGAGACCATGATTTTCGATTAAAACAGCGACTTTACAGTGTTTTTTCGTATGTTTTATATAGTTATATTTGTGATTTCTTGGTCTCATTTGATAGAATGGAAGACATATTACAGAAATAGAGATAATTTTGATTGGTGTTAGCACTGGAAATGGCATGAAACTGAGCTCAAAGTGGCGGAAATGTTAAATTTTTGCCGATGTTCAAGAGTAAACAAACGACCTCACATGTCTAATACACGCCAGCTGGTGGGTCTAATATACATTCACAAATGTGGTGATGATATTTATACAATTATTACAATATTGCATAACAGTAAATCTTCTATTTTTTGGTGTGAATAAAAATTCATTATGTGAATAAAAAATCAAAACGGAATTTATTTGTAAAGCCTCAAAATGTAACTAATGAACAGAGTTAATGTTAGTTTAGTGCCAGGAATACCTACATTGTTTATTCTGGACCCTATTTTGAAATTGGAATATTTTGAACTTTGTGTTAAATTGGCCAAATTAACAATTTCCGGTCACTTTATTTTGTAGTTGAAACAGTTGACTTGGCGATTTCTTGTGCTCAATCGATAGAATAGAAGTAATACTAGTGAAATTGCTAAGAATTTGGTTGACTGGAATAATGTAATTGGCCTAAAATGGGAGTCAAAGTCGGCAAAATCGCCGATTCGTAAATATCGCTGACACATCAAAATTCACGAGAGCATAATTTCGTCAGTTTTCCATCAAATTTCGTACTTTTTGTTTTATTACATTCACAAGAAGATTCTCTACCATTTCATAAGAAAAAATAAAAATTGTTTTTTTTGAAAATTCTTGGACACTGGGGCACCACTTCAGATTTTGGCCTTGGACCCTGAAAGGGTTAAGAGGGTAGTGGTGTAATGTTGGAACTTGGAGTGAGCATAAGCTTTTGCTCCAAAGTTTCATATAAATTTCATTTTATTTTACTAGTTGCTATTAATTTATTTACATATCAATAAACTTGCATACTTTGTAACTTCTCCTTGTAGGGTTGGTCTTCCAAACATTAATCAAAAGTTTATTTTTATTTATATTCTAGCAAAACAACAACATACAGGTAGAGAATCATTTATGTTGCTGACTTTGGAGGGAGGGGGGGGGGAGCCATTTATGAATGATTATTTCCTATTTTCTAAGTACCTATGTTCATTCATCTTTAAAAATTTCTTACCTTAGGAGCCCCATCCTTAGAAATGCCAACATCAGAAGTAGCAATACCAGCAACTGATCCATCATCATTATATAAAATTTCTGATGCAGGAGTACCAGGATAAATCTCCACTCCCATCTCTTCTGCTTGCTCTGCAAGCCACCGAACAAGGTGCCCCAATCGTACAATGTAGTTGCCATGGTTATACATTGGCATACCTTTGTCAAATAAAAATTTCAGTTAGATACCCTGCCAAGACAAAGATGCCATACAACATGAACATCCTACTTATATTTGTCCTATAACATGAAACTAGCAAAATCCAAAGTTTAAAAAAAAAATATTAAGCAAACCATACACTTCTGTTAATCTTCTTCTTTCAACAAACCAGCCATATCCCACTGAAGCAGGGTGGCCCAAAAAGAAAAACAAAGGTTCTCTTTTAACTTTAGTAATGTATACACGAGATGGGGTTACTAGCCCCTTGCTCCCGGCAAGTTAGTCACCTAAGATCTTATGACACGCATGGCTTACGGAGGAAGAATTCTGCTCCACATCCCCGTGGAGATAAGAGGAAATGAATGAGAACAAGAACTAGAAAGAAAATAGAAGAAAACCCAGAGGGGTGCGTGTGTGTGCACGTGCATATACAGTGGACCCTCGCATAACGCTATTAATCCGTTCCTGAGAGCTCAATGTTAGGCAAAATTATCGTTAGGCGAATGAATTTTCCCCATAAGAAATAATGGAAATCAAATTAATCCGTTCCTGACACCCCAAAGTATGAACAAAAAAATTTTTTCCAC